GCCTCTCGTGCGCAGTTCTGGTGGGTTGTGGGGAGGGTCCTGCTGGCACCAGCGGCGAGTGCAGCCCCGGCACTGCCGGGGGGACACGGCCTCGGTGGGGCAGTCCCTGCTCTGCTGCAGCCCCGTGCCTGACCCCGAGGTGCGCAGCACGAGGGTGAAAGTCCCGGCCATGGCGTGTGGGAGCCGTGCAGGACTCCTACCCGAGTGTTTCCCCCTCGGGATGCCCCCAGCGGGCCCACCCCGAGCCCCTGGCCCCGAGATGCTGCTGTACACAGGCTCCTCTGAGGTGGGTCAGACATTGTCAGTCCTGTGCAGTGGCCCTCGGTTTTGATAGCCCCACGAGCCAAGGCCCTTTGGAATCTGCTGGCTCACAGCTGCCAGGAATATGTCCCCTGGCCCAGTGGCAACATCCTGGGCACAGTGTCTGTGGAGCTGGTCAGTGTGAGGAATGCCAGGGGCATGGCCAGCCCAGCTGTGTCCTTCATGGCCAGACCCACCACAGAGCCAGGGAGGCACATTTCTCCTGGGTCTGCTGAGTCCCTGGGGCCGGGACACTGCCCAGGCCAGTGCAGACAGGGCTCTGTCCCCTGAGGAAAGGCAGGGGGGGCAGCATCTGGGTGTTTGGTCACCCCATGAGGCGTCCAGGTTGGAGGACACAGGACCCTACACCTGCATGAGCCCACTGGGGTGCACCCACCCAGCCTCCCAACTGTGAGTGCTTCCCTCTGTGCCGCCCACCTCACCACCCCCATGGTCCCCATGAGTCATGGGACGCGTTCCTGGGGCAGGAGGGGACATGTGTGCTGCAGGGACGGGCCGGCTGCGTCACCCCCGTGCTCCCACGCCTGGGGCTGGGGCGGCCCAGCTCCAAGCTGAAACTTGTCTGACAGTAATTACAGGAGAGATCAGGACTTCAGAGGATTTACATTCCTCTTGTGCCACACCTGGGAAAGAACTTTCACCATCAGGCAGTTTCTGAGAAATAACTTTCCATCTGCGTGGCCCAGCCACAGCCCTGCCTGGGGAGCCCAGTGGGCTTGGGAGACTGGGGGGCTCCTGTCAGCCTCATTTTGACTTTGTCCCAAATGCTGCAGAGAGCCCTGACCCCCTCTCCTGCTGTTCTGGGAGCTCCCACAGTCTCTGGGGCACTGGTGCCTTCATTCCATGTGCAGGGTCTGTGCAGCTCAGTACCCGACATGGCTGGGGTCTGACTGCTCTTCCCTGGGGGTCAGAGCGGGTGGTTGTGATGACTGGAAACTGGGGGGTTTGCACCGGTATCCCCAAGAGATTGGAGCTTCATGGGCGGCCAGTCAGGCCCTTCAACTGGAGCCCTGTCAGGCCCTTTACTTTGCTTTGGCTGGGGATGGCTCCCCGGTGACAGGGGACACATGGGACTCACTGGGTGAGGGGCTGTGTCTGCTCAGGGCACTCCTGTCACCCACAGCCAGCTGGCAGCTTTCCCAAACTACAGACAGGGCTGGACCCGCTGAGCCCCTCGGACACATCCCATCCCTCCCGGCCGCTGAACCAGCAGGGAAGGACCCGAGTCCCCCCTGTTCCTGCACCTTTCCCTGTCTCCCATGAACACAGAGAGATGCAGGCAGCTGGTTCCTGAACCAGCTTTGCCAAGCCCATCTGCCTCCCAGCTGCTGCCGTGTTTCCCACCCTGTGCCGGTGACCCGGCGCTGAGCCCACCGTGGGATCACCAGGAGGCTGGAACTGCCCTGGCCAGAACGTGCTGTGGCAGAAGCTGTGGCAGGGATGAGGGCCCAGTGCAGGTCTGTGCCCGGCACTGCTCCGTGGGTCATCAGCAGCACCAGGGACACGGCTCACCCCAGCTGGGCAGCAGCTCCTTCATATCCCAGTCCTAGGAGTCATGCTCCCCATGGCTGGGGGCTGCCCCACTGTGGGTGCCCTCCCCATGTCCCTTGTGCTGCCAACGGGGGGCTGGGACCCCAGGGACCAACCCCACAGGGGTTTGGAGCATCGGCTTTGCGGGGTCCTGGGGCTCTCCGCTGCAGCCCGGGGGGGGATCAGGGGCCATCTTGGCCTCCAGCACTTCCCAGGAGCTGGTGGGAACAAGCGGCGTCAGCACAGCACCGAGGCCAAGGTGTTTTGCAAGCAGAAGGGAGCGGGCGGTTTCCTTATTCGGCACTGCGGCGGCGGGGCGGCACACCTGGCTGTGGCACACCTGGCTGCGGCACACCTGGCTGGGCACGCCCGGCTGGCAGCGCCCGCGAGGGCGGCGGTGCTGACGCGGAGATGGGAACGCGGGCAGGACCCGCCTCGCTAATCACAGCCCGGCGCTGGGCGTGGGGACAAGCCGGGGCAGGGATGCAGCCCTGTCAGCCAAAACAACGCCGGTGACACACCCGCAGCTCAGCCCCAGGGGTCTCCTGCCCTGGGGGCCGCTGGGCAGCCCCTGTCCCCTGTGGTGTGTTTCCTCCCAGCAAGGCTGACAGGCTCAGAAAAAGCCCCCTGGCAGGAATGCCTGTGGTGGGAGGTTTATTCCTTCTCCTTTTCAGGAGCAAAGGGAAAAAGAGAAATTCAGCTGGAGCCTGCCCTGGGGCAGGGGGGTGGGTGATTGGGGACCCTGGAGCCAGGCAGTGTCTCCACCTCCAACCTCAGCCCCATGGGGTTTCAACCAAACCCAGTCCCAGCATGGTGATTACCTGCTGTGGGGCTGGGGGACTGCGGCCTCGGGGCCTGGCACCCCAACCCTGGGCTTCCCCGGTGCTCCCAATCCCACTGAATCCACCTGCCTCGAGCCAGACCGGCTGCCATGGCTCTGCCTCTGGCAAATGCAGGGCTGAGCCTGTGGTATGAGCACAGAACCTGCAGTGGAGCCGCATTCTGAAAGGACGGCTCCATCTCGACCTGGTTTTCCCAGAAGCCCCATGCCAGGGAGTGAGCCCTGGAGCTGCCAGGAAGGCCAAGCACACGGCGGCTGAGCAGGGTCGTTATGGCAATGCCTGTGCTCAGGGGTCCCTGGCAGCTCATAACCAAGAGAAGGGGCTGTGACTGAGCTGTTTTTTCTGGGCTGGACCCCCAAGGCAGTGCCTGCTGAGGTTTCCCTGTCCCCCTGCCAGGCCAACACACACTGGATGGGGTGAATAAGGGTAAGGGTCCAGGCAGCTCCAGGATAAGCTGAACACACTGCTCTTGCACCCTTGAGGTGCCAAGGGAGTCCTGGGAGTGAGAGCAGGCACAAAGGGGCTGGGCAGCTGCACAACATGGCACCAAACGTGAGCTGTGGCTGCGAAGGACCTCAGGCACTCCACGGGCTGCTGTCCCCACAAGTGTCCCTCTGCCCCTGCAACCTCTGCCCTTCCCCAGGCCAGCCTGTCTCCATGCCTCTCTGGGAGTGGGGGCACTGGGACCCCAGAGCTTGGCCATCCCAGCTCCCGGATCCCCGCTCCAGCTCCCAGCCTGGCAGGGCGGGTGCCACAGCCAAGTGTTTTGTAAGAGGCAAATCCCTGCAGCGCCAGCGTCGTGCCGGGACGGGCGGCCAGGCTTGGCACTGCCAGCGTGCGGGGAAGGAGCGCTGGCCCACGGCCAGTGTTTGGCCCTCAGGGAGTTGGCGTGGGCAGCGATGAGTGTGCCGGGCTGCGGGGCAGGGGAGGGGCCGGGCTGCGGCTGGAGCTGCGTGGGGACGGGCTCGCACTCTACGCGGCTTTTGCCTCGTCAGTGAAATACGAACCGGAGCGAGGCAGGTGCTGACCGAGGTGTTCGGCCTCACCTGCCCCTTCCCTGTGCTCGAGTCAGCAGAGTGGGGACAGCTCTGCCCCGTGCTCGCCATTTCTGCTGCTGTAACCCCAGAAATCTCCTGTCCTTTACCCCTCGCTCAGCGAGAGGTGGATTCAGCCCAGTGTCCACTCCCTGTCACACCAGGGCAGGGTCAGATGCCTGAGCTGTTTGGCAGCTGGGCTGGAACCTCCCCTGGCAGGAGGGAGCAGTGGGGAAAGCCCAGCCTGGGCTGAGGGGCACGTGGCAGTGCAAAGTGGGCACCAATGCTCCAGAGAAGGCAGGGGCTGCTCCTCTCATGGGCCTTGGAGCCCCTGGACACAGAGAGCTGCTCAGCAAGGCTTATCCCCTCTGCCCCAGCTGTGCCATGACTCTGCCGAGATCCCAGTGGTGCCAGTGGCAGCACAGGGCGGGTGTGAGGCACCTGGGAGGAGGGTCTCAGGTGCACGGCTGGAAGGGGCCCAGATGGGCCCATCCTGTGTCCACAGACATCACCAGTGCTGGTGCTGGTTGTGAGCTGGCACAGGCCAGGAGCCCAGCTTGGCAGGATTCCAGCAAAGGTTCATCCCAGGGTCTCTCCCTGGCCCAAGTTCTCTCCCTGGTGTGGAGCAGGGAGCTCCCTCCAGAATGGGGTGGCACTGCCTGGCTCAGGCAGAGTGGAAGGGGAAGATGAAAGCAGGGGACTTCAGGGCAGGACCGCGGAATCATGGAATCCCAGAAGGGTTTGGGTTGGAAGGCACCTTAAAGATCAGCCATTTCCAACCCCCTGCCATGGGCAGGGACACCTTCCACTAGATCAGATTGCTCCAAGCCCTGTCCAACCTGGCCTTGGACACTTTCAGGGATGGGACATTGAGAATGGCTGGAGCAGGGCCGGAGCTGTGCAGGGCAGCAGTGGGGGATGAGTTACATCCCCAGCTGTATCCCGTGTCCCTGGCTGCTCCTGCTGGCCAGCCTGGCCATGCTGCAGTGAGGGAGCCAGTGGGAGCTGAGCCTGGCACCTTTGCCCCTTCCCATGGCACTGGAGCAGCTCTGTGTCCCATGGCCCAGGTCTGACAGCAGAGCAGGACGTGTCTGGCAGGAGCAGGTTCACCGGTGTGTGTGAACGACCCATCCTCCTGCCCGATGCCGAGGCTCTGAGTCAGCCCCGCGCTGGCTGCGCCTCGTGCCGACAGCTCCCGACTCCAGGAGAGATGGAATGAAAATCCTGCCATGGCTGTGCCTGTCCCAGCTGCTCAGCATTCCTCGATGCCTGGGCTGGGCCCCTCCACTGCAGGAAACCCTCCAGCCCTGCTCCCCATCACTAGGCAGGGGCCAGCACTTCCTGAGCTCCCAGTGCTCTGTGGGTGTCTGATGGAGAGCAGAGCTGCTGCCCCGAGCTGCTCCCACCCTTCCCAGTGCCCGTGACCCCTGTTCCCGTGTCAGGTTTGCTCCAGGCTGATGTGAGTCCCCAGCCAAGGGACAGCCCTGACAAGGTGGACAGTTATTTGATGTATCCCCTGCGATGTGAGTGTGGAGTGACATCTACACAGGGCATCTATCTCTGCCTGGGGAATCCCTGTGGGTGCAGCACCTCTCCTCTGCAGGAAAACCATGGGATCTCCAGGATCCTGGAGAACCCTCCCTGGGAGAACCCCCCAGCACCTCTGTCCCCAGGCCGGGAGGGACAGAGCTGCCTTGTTCCATCGCTTGCGCACAGGTACCGGCAGGGGGGCCGAGCCGGGGCCGTGCCCGCTCACCTGCCCCGGCAGCATGGCCGGGCTCAGCCCGTGCTTGGAGCTCTCCTGGCACCTCGCGGAGAGCAGCGGAGTCACAGCAGTGCAGGGAGGGGGCCCCGCCGGGGGAAGCGGGAGCTGAGCAGTGCGAGGGAGGGTGAATAAACACCCTTAAACGAGTGATTGTGACACACCCGAAGCCACAGCAATGCCCCGGAGGTCACTGGGTGGACAGGAATCGGGATGTGCCGGCCCTTGGTGCACACACAGGGCAGAGGGGCTGTGAGGGGGAGGCGTGTGGGACCCTTTGATTGTCTGTCACACCGTGTCCGGTGCCTTCATCCCAGAGCATCCGACAGCTGGGACCACAGCAAGCATCCCACAGGCCCCAACCGTGGGTGGGCAGCAGCCAGTTCACATGACAGCCCAGGGTCTGCAGGCTTTGGGATGTGAATGCCAGGAATAGCTGTGCAAGAAAGGGAATGTGGGACTCGAGCAGGGATTCCCTGAGCTGCCACTGGCCCCGTGACAGCCGGGCTCACCCGGCCATGCCGCAGCTCTTTCCAGGAGCAGGTTAATCACCAGGCTGACGCCTGTCAGTGCTGCCCGTGCTGATTAATGGGATCAAATACTGTACATCAGACATCCAGCTCATCCTGAATCCCGTCTGAGCAGTCGCACAGAGGCTGCAGGAAGGATGTTGGAGGAGAAAAGCTGGTTTCTAGGAATGTCCCAGCCCGGAGGGCATTGCTGAGCTGCGGGAGAATGCTGGGGTGATTCCTTTCCTTCTGCTGCACTTCCCGGGTGTTCTGGGGGGCACCAAGACCCCCCACTTAGAGCACAGGGTGAAATGGCCTTGCAGGACACAATGGGGAGAGACCTGTAGTAACCCCGGGCTGGTCACCCACCAAGAGCCCCTGGAAGCCCTCGGGGCCACTGCTGCAGGACCCTCACAGGCAGGGTGGGGCTGCATCACCCTGGGCTCCCCAGGCCACACACACACAGGGGCACAGGGGAGCGTCCCCCCAGGATCCCCGGCACTGGCAGGGGCACCGGTGCTGGGCAGGCCCTGCCCTCGCCACCATCATGTTTCCTTATTGCAGGGCTGCCTGTGCCACTCGCTGCCAAGGCACACGAGGGTGCCCAGGAGCCACCCCAGCCCCCAGCACCACTGCAGTGCCTTCGAGTGAGCAGTGACAGTGTCACAGGACTCGGGTGGCTCTGGGCCCCCCTGCTCCTCCTGCTGCCCCTGAGCCGACCCTGGCAGGTCACCTGGCACTGCCACGGCCCCCGCACGGGGTTTGCGGTGCACGGAGCCCCCGCACAGCGCGGGGGGGCAAAGGCCGATTGTCTGCCGGGGACCAGGCACAAGGACACGGCAGCAGCTCGGTGCTGCCTCCGGAGATGCTCCTGCAGGAGACCGGCATTGCCACCTCGTGGGGAGCCGGGAGCGGCACCTCATCGGGCAGGACAGGGCAGGACCAGCACCCAGAGGTGAGGAAGGTGCAGGGGGCTCGGCCCCGGGGCCCAGCCAATGCCACTCGTGACTGCAGGTGCCAGCTCTGAAGGACAAAATCTGATGCAATACTTCCCTGACAGTGCTCAGCCCTGGTGTCCCAAACACACTCCCCTCTTTTTGTCTTGGGCCAAAGGCTCTGGGGGGCACAACAGGGGTGTGCCACATGGACTCTGTGGACCTGAAGTGATGCTGATCAATCAGCTGGGGTGTCCTGGACATCCTGGCCGGTGTGCCCAGAGCTGACACCAGACTGGAGGTACCAATGGCTCTGCCAGTGTTTGGTGTGGAATATGAAAAGCAGCCCTTTGGCTGCAGCGAGGACTTGGAAATGCCTCCAGCAGAAAGATGCAGTGCAAACCTCTAATTGCCTCCCCTGTCTGGCTACTCCACCATGTGGCTGTGAGAGATGGCTCCTCTGGGAGAAAGGAGAACCTGATCAGAAACAGAGGAGAGGAGAGCCATCTGCTTGTTCAAGGTGGTCGTGGAGCAAATTCACATTTTCATGACAATTTCAGCCAGCTCTGCAGCTGATCTGTCACATACAGAAGTGACAAATGCTCCAGAGACACCAGAGAGATCCTGGAACACGGCATCGCAAACGGTTCCCTCTGCCTGGTGCAAGAGACACCATTTGCCTTTATCTTAAATAAAACCCCCAAGAATGATGCAACGCCCGAGCGAGCGAGGGCTGCCAGAGCCGCAGATGGCAGCACACCCAGCTGCCAGTAACCTGCTGAGCCCACGTCGTGCTCCAGAGATGGATCCAAGGGGAGCAGGGACACCTACACAGTCGGGATCCGAACAGAGCTGAGGAGCTCCAGACAAACAGTCCCCAGCCCCGCAGGCCCACGGTCCCCAGGGATGACATTCCCACTCTGTGTGCAGCTCTAACCCGCTCCCAGAGGAGAGTTCACGCTCTGTCTGGATCTGGATGGCTTTTGATTCCCGTAACTGTGCAGGGGATTTACTGTCCCTCATATCTGGAGTCTTGAGGTATTTTTAGCACCTGTTCCGAGCAGGATGTGGTGTCCCTGTGCCAGCAGCCCCCGTGCTGGGCTGAGCCACTGGGGACACACCCGCCAGGCTGGGGGTTTGTCCGTGGAATGTCCGTGTTCAGCAGCTCAATCCCAACAGAGAGCCAGGCTCTGGGGCCTCAAATTAGGACTCAAGTGCCAGGGGGACATGTCACATGTTTAAACATAAACCCCTTCCTCTCCTGGCAGATTCCAGGGACACCTTCAGCGTCTCCCCCTTGGCAGCAGAGCCCCAGCCCCGCTCCAGGACCGTGTGTCCTCGGAGCATCTCCCTGCCAGCGGCCTGGGAGCAGCATCCTGGGCTGCCTGCACGTGGGACACAGCTGGTGACAACCCCAAACTGGGTGTCAGAGTGGGCACCGGGCATGGCAGAGCTCTGTCACCCCGGGCTGGGGGTCACACCGCGCACTGAGGGCTGCGAGGGCAGCCGAGCAAACACCCGGAGCGGCCACAGGAGCCCCGAGGCCGGTGCAGGACTGGCAGGAATGGGGTCCAGGCGGGGGGGGTGTCCCAAGGAGATTTTGGGGAGGTTCGAGGGTCCCAAGGACATTTGGGAGGCGGGAAGGGGGTTTGGAAGGGTTTTTACGTTCCCAGGGGGCTTTTGGGGTGTCCTGAGAGGGTCTTGGTGGGGCTAACATGGGGATTTGGAGGGATTTTGGGG